CTGCTGGAAGCAGGCTGGCACACGTGAAAGGGCTTGGGTTGGCACATGCGGCATTGAGGACTGCAGCTTGCAAAAGTGTGGTGGGGGTCGGGCTGTCTGAGGACCGGGTAAAGCTGGCCAGAGGGATAAGGGGAATGGGTCCAGCGCAAGAGCAGGGTAAGAGATGTGTGCTTCCTGGAGGAAAACTGCGGTTTTTGGTTTATTTTTATGTGTTTTTTTTCCCCTTGCCCGAGGATATGTTTAATGATTTTGTGAGAGAGAGGGAGAGAGAGAGAGAGAGAGAGAAACATTGATGTGAGAGAGAGAAACACTGATCAGTTGCCTCCCATAAGAACCCTGACAAGGGATTGAACTCCCAATCTAGGTATGTGCCCTGACCAGGAATCGAACCCACAACCTATTGGTGTATGGGATGACACTCCAACCAATTGAGCCATGAACCAGGGCAAAACCTGTGTTTTTTTATTTTTATTATTATTGATTTCAGAGAGGAAGGGAGAGGGAGAGATAGAAACATTAATGATGAGAGAGAATCATTGATTGGCTGCCTCCTGCATGTCCCCTACTGGGGACTGAGCTCACAACCCAGGCATGTGCCCTGACCGGGAATCGAACCGTGACCTCTTGGTTCATGGGTGGACGCTCAGTCACTGAGCCCCAGCGGCCGGGTGAAACCTTTTTTTATATCCCAACTGAATGGGAATTGGTGCCAGGGGTCAAGGAGAGCAAATGCAGTCAGAAGGTTGCTCCCCATTATCGTCAGTGATTTCAGCCTTCCCTGAAAAGCCAGAGTGGGCTGCTGGGGTGTCTCACAGGAGGCAATTTGGAGGCTTTCTCTGTAGGAAAAAGGTGGGGCCAAATTAAAGGCAAGGTAATGTTTGCAGTTACTTTAACGGATTAATAATTTACTCCAGAAGAGGAGGAAGCTCTACAGATCAGTTAAGATAATCTAGTTTCAAAAGAGAAGTAGTCTAGACTGAGAACAGACAGAACAAATTATAACAGCTGAACCAGTACAAATGCACCTCAGATGGGAGACCTGCCACCTTATTAATAGGGTCACAATGGTGATCCTGAGAGCAGTTCCTACCTTCTGCTGCTCTGAGATAAATAAGCATGCATGGAAGTCATGTTCTATACAAGCACAAGGAGGGGATGTATTTGATCTTTTTTTAAAAAAATATTGATTTCAGAGAGAAGAGAGGAAGAGATAGAAATATCAATGATGAGAGAGAATCATTGATCAGCCGCCTCCTGCACACCCCATACTGGGGATTGAGCCTGCAACCCGGGCATGTGCCATGATTGGGAATCGAAATGTGATCTGGTTCATACGTCGATGCTCAACCACTGAGCCACACTGGCTGGGCTGGATGTATTTGATTTTTACAGGGAAGTGTAGTGCCTGCCTAGCATCAGGTCACAGTACCTCAATTTCCTTTGGGGGAACCATCTCTTCTTTACTCTCAGTACACAAGGCTTGCATGTGGATGACCCCAACATTTGACCTCTGGGGTAGGCATATGCCCAGGTGTAGCCAAACAGAGCCACACAGACTGATGCAAGGTAAGCCCATACCCCAGTCTGGACCAATGAGAGTCAGTCTCCAGGGACAAATAGAGGAACTATTGGGAAGGTGAGAGCTCTGTTTTGGCTGGGGTTGCCTCCCCCTACCTGGGGGAAACACATGTGTGAAAAGGAATAAAATACAGAGAAAAGCAGAGCCAAGAGATGGAGAGAGCCCATGTCCTGGTGACTTTAAAAATATATATATTTTTTATTTTTATTGATTTCAGAGAGGAAGGGAGAGGGAAATAGAAACATCATTGATGAGAATCATGGATCAGCCACCTCCTGCACGCCCCCTAGTGGTTGATCCAGCCTGCAACCCAGACATGTCCCCTTGACTGGAATCGAACCCAGGACCCTTCAGTCCTCAGGCAGATGCTCTATCCACTGAGCCAAACTGGCCAGGGCCTGGTGACTTTATTAGAGCTGGTATCACCTGTGGGCTTTGGGGTCCATTACAGGAATAATAAGTCCCCCTCCTGTTATTACTTTAAAAAAGTTTTTTTTATTGATTGAGAGATAGAGATATTTTGTTGTTCCACTTATTTATGTATTTACTAGAGGCTCAGTGCATGAAATTCCCTCAGACTGGCCTGCACCCTCTTGCATTCCAGGAGCCCTTGGGGGATGTCCAACTGACAGGGAGCAGACCTAAGCCAGCAGTTGGACATCCTTAGTGCTGCTGCGGAGGCGGGAGAGGCTCCCACCATGGCTGCTGTGCTTGCCAGCTGTGAGCCTGGCTCAGGGCTTCTGGCTGAGTGGTACTCCCCCTGTGAGAGTACACTGACCACCAGGGGACAGTTCCTGCTTTGACCATCTGCCCCATGGTGGTCAGTGTGCATCATAGCAACCAGTCGTCCCACCATTCGGTCGATTTACATATTGGCCTTTTATTATATAGGATTGGTTGATTCTTGTGTGTGCCAACTGGGGATTGAACCTGCAACTTTGGATATCAGGATGATGCTCTAACCCAGTGGTCGGCAAACTGCAGCTTGCGAGCCACATGTGGCTCTTTGGCCCCTTGATTGTGGCTCTTCCACAAAATACCACGTGCGGGCACGCACATACAGTGCGATTGAAACTTCGTGGCCCATGTGCAGAAGTCGGTACCCAGCCAGGGCTATTTACTTATTTTTTTAAAATACGTTTTTATTGATTTTAGAAAGAGAGGAAGGGAGAGTGATATAGATAGAAACATCGATCAGCCCCCTCCTGCACGTGCTCCACTGGAGATGGAGCCTGCAACCCAGTCATGTGCCCTGGGAATCGAATTGTGACCTCCTGGTTCATGGGATGATGCTTAACCACTGAGCCATGCTAGCCAGGCTCATTACTTATTTTTTGCTTATGCCAGTTTGAGTTGGGATTCTGGTACTTGTAACCGAGGATGTTGTAATGCCTAAAGGGGAGGGCTGTGAGTGGGGTGGGAGGACATCCTGGCAGAGGAGGACTGCAGGATAAAGTTTGACCTCCACTTTGGAAAGGCGGGCAGCTGCACTCCACACTGTCATCAGCTCCTAGCCTGCATGAGGCCAAGTGGGGGACAAAGCTGGCCTGCTGCTTCCATCTGTGTGACTCTGGTGACCCCCAGGGAGGGCACAGGCCCCTGAAAAGTTAGGAGCTGTCACTGGGGCTCAATCTTGCAGACATTTGGTGAATGTTTGGGGAAGGTTGGCAGTCACAGCAGTTGTTCGTATTCAAGAGGCATGGTGGGGACTCCAACCCACCCAGCCTTGCAGTACAGACCTTCAGTGAGGTTCCCTTTCATTTTATCACTGTGGTAGCCCCAATGGGTATACTGAGGTTTATTTACAGTATTCTATCTACTTTGGGGACTTTTGAAAATTTCCCTAATTAAAGGTTTAAAAATGAATACATGGCCCTAACCGGTTTGGCTCAGTGGATAGAGCGTCAGCCTGCATACTGAAGGGTCCCAGGTTCAATTCCAGCCAAGGGCATGTACCTTGGTTGCGGGCGCATCCCCAGTGGCGGGTGTGCAGGAGGCAGCTGATCAATGTTTCTCATTGATGTTTCTAACTCTCTATCCCTCTCCTCTCTGTAAAAAATCAATAAAATGTATTTTTAAAAAATGAATACATGTATGATACTATAATGGTAGCTACACATCATTATATATTTGTCAAATCCACAGACTACCACACAAGAGGGAACCCTAATGTCAACTGTGGGCTTTGGGTAATGATGATGTATGTAGTAACTCTCTGTACATTTTTGTTGTTAATCCTCACCCGAGTATATTTTTTCCATTGCTTTTCAGAGAGTGGGAAAGAGGGGGAAGAGAGAAACATCAATGTGAGAGAGACACAGTGATTTCCTCCCACACCACCCCAAACCAGGGCTGGGGATCGAACCTGCAATCAAGGTATGTGCTACTGACCAGGAATCGAACCCGTGACCCTTTGGTGCCTGGGCCAGTGCTCTTCCACTGAGCCACACCAGCCAGGGCTCACTGTACTTTCCGCTCAACTTTGCTGTGAACCTAAAACCCTAAAAAGGTAAGTCTAGACCTCGCTTGTTTAGCTCAGTGGTTAGAGCGTTGGCCCATGGACTGAAGGGTCATGGGTTTGGTTGCTGGTCAAGGGAATGTACCCAGGTTGCAGATTCGATCCCCAGCCCCAGTTGGGAGATAACCAGTTGATGCGTTTCTCTCACATCAATGTTTTTTTTCTCTCTCTCCCCCACTCCGTCCCTCCTTTCTACTATCTCTAAAAAGAAAAAAAGAAAAAATATCCTCAGGTGAGGATTAGCAAAAAAAAAGTAAAAAAAAAAAGTCTATGAAAAAATAGATACATGTACAGTGCTTGATACAGGGCCAGGTTGGGTGATCAGCATCTCCTGGGCAACACTCTATCCACTGAGCCAAACTGGCTAGGGCAGCGACTTCTCTCCCTTTTCTGACTCCATACTGTAGTACCTGCGCACCACCCCACCCCCGCAATGTGGTATTCCAGCAAAACTCCTGCTAGTTTCTTGCTGGTTCTCGTTCAATGACGGGAAATAGAACTAATCTGTGAGAAATGATAAAAGGTCCACATGACTCTGCCCTTTGCAGTCCTGATTTCAAAGGCACCCAAAGCTGAGTGCTGGGGGGACACACACTAGCTCCCAGGGAGGCTGGGTGTAGTGGGAGGCCCGGGCAGGATTTAATCCCCATCGGTGTTCCTACAGGCCTGTGCTGTGTGTGAGGGAGTTGGTGGGTTTCCTGTCCAGAGAGCAGAACTGTCTCTTTTGGGCAAGGATACGGGCTAGCAGCTGGCGAGCTGCTCTGCTTGCTACCTGAGTCCCAGCTCAGCAGGACATGTCCGTGGCAGAGTCCTGGAGACAAAGGCTGTCTGCTAAGGCCGTGGGGGTAGGTTGGCTGGGCCTCCAGGCCATATCCCTCTCCCAAGGACAACACCACCCGACTTCATGTTGAGTGCACACATTCCACTGGGGCACCAATTTATTAAGAAGTCACCTAGAAGCCGGGTCCTGTGACAAACTGCAGGAGCTGCCACCCACTGCACCAGGGCCCGTGACTAGGCTCACTACCTTACTGCCCTGGCCAGCCAGGCTCTAAGGCGGCCCCTTCCTACGGAGAGCGGGGCAGGAGGCAGCCAGGTAGGTCCCTGCCATGGGCCGCCAGATGTGGCTCACCGGAAGGAAACCCGTGGGAAACAGGACTAGTCTGCAGAGCAGTGAGCGGCTCTTGCGGAGAGGTTCCGGAAGTTGCCCAACCAGGTGGCTGTGCAGCCAGGGGGCGAGCACCCAGGGCCTTGGGAAGCGGGTGGGGGCTGACTAGGGAAAGCAGCCTTAGGAAAAGGAGATGGGGACCTGGGCTCCCCTGCCAAAGTACAATGAGACTGGCCATCGCAGTCCCCACCACCAGTCACACATGGGTCACCGCTCACGGCCTCGGAGCCCTGATGTGTTGAAGAAGAGAGCGCTCCTGGCCGGTGTGGGGTCGGGACTCAGCCCTGCGCTGGCACCACTTCTGCCTCCCCCTGGGCCAGGCACACGCAGCCTCCTTAGTCTGGTCGTCGCTTGGCTGGCTAGCTAGCCGTGCTTCTCCTTGGGATGCAGCCTTCCATCTCCAGCGCCTCGGGCCAGCCTTCATACTTGTTGGTGTGTCTGCTGTTCTTCACATGCTGCGGGGTCAAGGGAGCGGGGAGTCACAACCTCAGCCCTCATGCACCCGAGAAAGAACTGGCAGTGCCCCTGGGCCAGTGTCAGCCAACTGTGCACTCTCAGGGCACCCGCCCCCTCTGTCTGTCCCGGCACCTTGATCTTTCTCATGGAGAAATAGCCCTGGCTGCCCCGGCGTGACCTCCACAGGTGCAGTGAGAGGCCAACTCCTCTGCGCCTCTGTGGGCCTGGCACACGCTGGGGAGGGAAGGAAGGGGTCTGTCTGTATGCCTGTCTCTGCCCAGCCCACAGGAGCTGCTGGAAGTTATAGGAAGAGCAAGCTCAGAGGGAGTGTTTCTTCTTGGGGGGGTGGAGGGGGGGTGGGGGGTGGCTGTTAAGCTGCTCTTTTGGTAACCAGAAGCTTCCAGAAATCAATGGAGGCTATGTCTTTAGTCCTGCTTTGGGGAGCAGGGCTGGGGGACACCATGGCTTTCACAGAATGGGGAGCTTCCCAACAATGAGGATGGCACCTGGGGCTTCCCAGCCCCTCGCATGGGGCCTGACACGGGTGACCCCAGAGGAGCCGTGAGCCAGACAGCAGCCAGGCTGGTGCAGAAGGGCATGCAGCGTGAATCTGGGTATTGGGTTTCGGGAGGATGGGAGGACCAAGCATCTTGAAGATGTTTAGGAGGCGAGTTTCTTACTTGTGAGTGTTGCCAGTGTGTAACACTCGGAGACCCTTTAGGGCCTGGCCGGTGGGCTCAGTGGTTGGGCATCGACCTATGAACCAGGAGGTCATGGTGCGATTCTCGGTCAGGGCACATGCCTGGGTTGCGGGCTCGGTTCCAGGTCGGGGGCGTGCAGGAGGCAGCCCATCAGTGATTCTCTCTCTTCATTGATGGTTCTATCTCTCTCCCCCCTCCCTTCCTCTCGGAAATAAATAAAAATAAAAAAATTTCAAGAAATTAATACTTGAAAAAATAAAAGTAAAGACCCTTTAGGGTAAAATCCATACAGGAGGGGGCCAGAGTTGCCTTGGGTGGGGGTGTAGGGGCAGGATTTAGGGAAGGCCACAGCATGAACAAAGGGGGACCTCATGAGATGCAGGCAGAAAGCCCAGGCCAGCTCCCTGGTCTGGGAAGTGGAGTTGCCAGCCTCCCCCACCGCCCCGTACCTGCTCAAAGGGGCTCTTGTTCTGCACACCCTTGGCCCCCACAAACACCCAGCTGTCCCGGAAGGCTAGGTCCTTGACATTCTTGCTGCCCAAATCGCTGAAAAGCTTCCTGGTCTCTTCGTTCATCCTGCCACACAGAAGGAGAAGGTGTGAGTGGTCGCCATAGGAGGGCAAGGCTGAGGCTGGCCTGGGCAAGCACTTACTTGGTGGCGGGGTCGTCGTAAGATGCCACAAACACCAGGGTGCCTTCATGCAGTGGCCGAATAAACTTCAGAAGATCGTTGACATCTGGGGGCACAGATCCCGTGGAACACGGAGCATCAGGAACCACTGGGCTTCCCTCCCCCACCAACCCCTATTCTCTGAATGAGGACACTTAAAGTAGGGATCAGGCCAGGGACACACCCCACTAAGGGTGACAGGAACAAACTGGTATATGAAGCCAGGGCACTCCCCGTGGCCACACACCTGTCCCTGCCCCTGCCTTTTCCGAACCCAAGGAAGTGCTCGAGAAGCCCCCAGCAAATGGCCAGAGGAAGGGCAGTGTTTGCAGCGGTTCTCAACCTGTGGGTCGCGACCCCTTTGGCGGTCGAACGATCCTTTCACAGGGGTCGCCTAAGACCACCCTGCATATCAGATATTTACATGACGATGCATAACAGTAGCAACATGACAGTTATGAAGTAGCAACGAAAATAATTTTATGGGTGGGTCACAACATGAGGAACTGTATTTAAAGGGCCAGAAGGTGGAGAACCACTGGTTTAGGGGAAGGACACCCAGTCATTCTGTCACACAGTCAAAACTCGGGGGGCCAGGCGGCCACTCACCTCCTGCCCACATGTCGAAGGCCCGGGCCTCGATGAGCTCACCGCTGACCCCTGGATCAACAGGGAGGATGGGGTCTTCCTGGGCAAGCCAGCAGGGCAAACCCACCCTACCACCTCGGTCCTCCCAGACTAGGCTCACCACATGGCATGGTCACTGGGTGCAACCCTTCTAGAACCTTTTCAAATATCCCCCCATATCAGCCTGGCTGGTGTGGCTCAGTGGTTGAATGTTGACCCATGAACCAGGAGGTCATGGTTTGATTTAGATTCTTGGTCAGGGCACATGCCCGGGTTGTGGGCTCGATCCCCAGTAGGAGGCGTGCAGGAGGCAGCCGATCGATGATGTTTCTCTCTATATATCCCTCTCCCTTTCTATCTCTCTCAAAAATCAATAAAGGGAAACACTTTTTTAAAAAAGCAAAAAATATATATATGCCCCCATATTCCTGCCAACTATGCCCCTTATTCAGACAGCGGCGGCCCATCCAAGGCTGCAAAGCTTCTGCCTGGCATTTGAGGCCCTCCAGGTGCGCCCTTCAAATTCCTGGAAACTCCTAATTCTTTCCTACTATCATCCTTTTAAAAAATAAATACATATATTTTTTCTTGATTTCAGAGAGGGAGAGAGAGATAGAAACATCAATGATGAGAATCCATGATCAGCTGCCTCCTGCATGCCCCCCACTGGGGATCGATTCGGCAACCAGGGCATGTGCCCTGACTGGGAATCGAAATCGAGCCGTGATCTCCTGGTTCATGGGTTGACTACTCAACCACTGGGTCACACCGGCAGGGCTCTACTGCCACCATGCTTTTGTTCATTGAGTCACTTCTGTGGACCCTTGGGAATTCTGAGGGGAGGGGAAGGGAGGGAAAGGGAGGGGGTGAGGAAGGTCACAGCACAGCAGGGTTCCACTTTCTTCAACCAAACTCTGACCCCACATCAGAGGGAACTTACCATTCACCAGGGCAATGTTCAGTCCTCGACCCACGTTGTCCTTCACGCTGCTCATGAGCCTAGCAAGGGGACAGCCCTCAAGTGGCACGTCTGCTCCACTCTCCTGACCTTGCAGGTCTTCCTGGCCCGCGGCTCTGGGCAGGGACAGTAGGGGTGACCCATGGGCCTGGCCCTGGGTCATCCGAAGTCTGAGGGAGGGAGGTCAGGACCGGCCCATAGGGAGGTATGACTGATGACTGAGCAGGGGGCCAGTTTGGGGAGAGGACATGGCTCAGGCCAGGAACACCTCCAGCCATTCTGTATCCCCTGGGCCGCAGGCAAGGTGACAGGGACCCCTAGGGAGGCTTTTCTGCCACTGATCGGAGAAGAGAAAGGAGTAGCAGCTGGGAGGGCAAATGTACAGATGCGCGTACGGCCAGAACAGACTGAAGGAGAGCAGCGTGGCTCACTGGTTGAGCGTCAACCTATGAACCAGGGGGTCATGATTTGATTCCTGGTCAGGGCCCATGCCCGGGTTTCGGGCTCAATCCCCAATGTGGGGCGTGCAGGAGGCAGCCGATCAATGATTCTCTCATCTGATTTTCTATCTCTCTCTCCCTCTTCCTTCTTCTCTGAAATCAATAAAAATATGTTTTTTGAACAAAGAGAGAGAAAGCACTTGATTCCCATGGGGCAGAGGTGGAAGGACAGAAGGACAACCTCTGTCACAGGCTGTATTGTGTCCCCATAAAAGATATTTTAAAAATATATTTTTAATAAAGCAGCAGAATATTAACAAAAGGTGAAGCTGGGTACAATTCTTTGTCCTATTTTTTCCAATTTTCTATAGATTTGAAATTATTTCCAAGTCAATAAGTAAGAATAATTTTTTAAAGAATGTGTGCAATCATTTTATTAAACTGGTAATTTTATTTTCCTGGATTGATTTTATACCTTACCAATAAACACATTTATGTCCGCCCCCCCCCCCAAAAAAAATTGATTTTTTATTGATTTCACAGAGGAAAGGAGAGTGTGAGTGAGAGATAGAAATATCAATGACAGCTGATCAAAGTTTCTAACTCTCTATCCCTCTCCCTTCCTCTCTGTAAAAAATCAATAAAAATATATTTTTTTTAAAAAGAAATATCAATGATGAGAGAGAATCATTGATCGGCTGCCTCCTGCAGGTCCCCTACTAGGGATGGAGTCCTGACCAGGAATCAAACTGTGACCTCCTGGTTCATAGGTCGATGCTCAACCACTGAACCACACCGGCCAGGCTGGAATGGGAATTTCTATGCCTGTCCCACCAGTGTATTCTGGAAGCAGGGAACTTGTTTCCTAGGTTCACAGCATGCAAGCGGCTCAGCGGGCTGTATTGGCCAGTTTGGGGAGAGATAAGTGGAAACCAGAAACCCTGGAGAGCTGGGGGCAGGTAGGGTGTCACATAAGTAGGAGGAGGGGCAGGCCCAGAAGAGGGGCAGGGAGGTGACAGGAGCCTTACCTGCTGTCACTGAATTCTCTGGGCCTGTGGGGAGAGAGTTGTTTCTGTTAGAGCGGAGGCCTCCTGGCCTGCAGCAGGGCAGCCTGGCTCCATACCATGCAGTCAAGGTGGTGGAACAGCAGGCTCAGAGGCCGAGGGCTAAGCCAGGCTGATCTTGGCATGTTCTTGCTCAAGTCTAAATGATGTTCATATGCAAAGCTCCCTGCTCCAGGAAAAGGGTCAGTTGGAAATGTACAAAGTACTTAGGTCACTAGACACAAGGTGTAGAGTCCCCTCCTAATCTCAGAGCTCAGCAGAAGGTTGGCAGGGAGCAACCAGGGAGTCATCCCCAATGTTCAGCGGAAGTCCCTCTGCCCCTTACTCAAGCCCCGCCCACTCCAACTGGGCTCAGAACTAATCAGCAGGGATTTGCTGCTCAGCCCAAGCAACCTCCCAACCAGAAGGCTGTGCTGGATGCCAGGAGACAGACGGAGGAAGAGAAAGGAAATCCAGGCCCCTCCCACCCCCAGCCTGAGCCTCAGCCCACGGGCCCAGGTGGCCACCATGGGGACCTCTGTAGCCAGGCAAGGAAGAGTCCCACACTCACTGGTGAAGAGTTGCTGGATGCGAGAGAAGCCACTGCCAGGCCCACCCAGGAAGATGCTGACTATGATCCAGGTGAGAGCCACGGTCACAATCAGGGCCACGATGCGGAGGGGACCTGGAGGCAGGACAGACAAGGCAAGGCTACCTCAGATGCCAGTGAGCTCCAAATGGTCCCAGGGCCTCTCGCAACCAGATCTCCCCATCCACTTGGGATGAAGTGACTGGAGGATGGGAAGGTAGAGACCTGTGGCCGGGTGGTCGGAGGGGGGCAGCACCAAGGCTCTCAGTTTGGTTTCCCTGGGGGCAGGTGCTGGGGCCTTCCAGAACTCGCTGCTCAAGAGGGCTCTCACACTCCCCCAGGAGCACCCACCCTCCTGCTCGAGGCTGCCAATATCTGTGATGAACCCATCACATCCTCTTTTTCTCCTGTTGTGATGGAGGAGGAGCTCCCTAGTCCTTTTGAAGACCAGTCCCTTCACCTGCTGTGACGTGGATCCCTAGCTCTCCTCCCTGTTCAGGTGTTTTGTTTTTTTAATTTTTTAAAAATTGATTTCATCCTAACCGGTTTGGCTCAGTGGATAGAGCGTCAGCCTGCAGACTGAAAGGTCCCAGGTTCGATTCCAGTCAAGGGCATGTACCTTGGTTGCGGGCACATCCCCAGTGGGAGGTGTGCAGGAGGCAGCTGATCGATGTTTCTAGCTCTCTATCCCTCTACCTTCCTCTCTGAAAAAAATCAATAAAATATATTTTAAAAAAAATTGATTTCAGAGAGGAAGGGAGGGGGACAGAGAGATAGAACCATCAATGATGAGAGAGAATCATAGATTGGCCGGCTCTTGCACGCCCCCCACTGGGGATTGAGCCTGCAACCCGGGCATGTGCCCTTGACCAGAATCAAACCCAGGGGACCCTTCAGTCCGCAGGTCGACGCGGTGTCCACTGAGGCAAACTGGCTAGGACCCTGCTCAGGTTTCTTGTAATAGCAATCATCCCATCTCTGTCTTTCTCTTCTATTTTCAACATCTCTCCTCCTGCCCTAGCCGGTTTTTCTTAGTAGAGCGTCAGCCCGTGGTCTGAAAGGTCCTGGGTTCGATTTCTTTTTTTTTAAAATATATTTTATTGATTTTTTACAGAGAGGAAGGGAGAAAGAGAGTCAGAAACATCGATGAGAGAGAAACATCGATCAGCTGCCTCCTGCACATCTTCCACTGGGGATATGCCCAAAACCCAGGTACATGCCCCTGACCAGAATCGAACCTGGGACCTTTCAGTCCGCAGGCCAACGCTCTATCCACTGAACCAAACCGGTTTCGGCCTGGGTTCAATTTCAATCAAGAGTGTGTGCCTCGGTTGCAGGCTTGATCCCTGGCCCTGGTTGGGGTGCGTGGGGGAGAAAGGCAACCAATTGATGTCTCTCTCTCTCTCCCATCCCTCCCTTCCACTATAAAAAATATCCTTGGGTGAGGATTAACAAAAACAAACAAAGCTCGCTGGCATGGCTCGGTGGTTGAGCATCCACCTATGAACCAGGAGGTCACGGTTTGATTCCCGATCAGGGCACATGCTCGGGTTGTGGGCTCGATCCCCAGTGCGGGGCATGCAGGAGGCAGCTGATCAATGACTCCCTCTCATCATTGATGTTTCTCTCTCTCCCTCTCCTTTCCTCTCTCAGAAATCAATAAAAAATATATTAAAAACAACACCCACAACAACAACAACAAAACCCAACTTGTTTCCAAGGCCACCTATGACATTCTTGGTGTCAACTTCCCGGGTCACTTGTCAGCCCTGATCTTTCTGGGCTTCTCAGTTGACTGCCCAGGCCAGCCGTGGGCAAACTACGGCCCGTGGGCCGGATCCGGCCCGTTTGAAATGAATAAAACTAAAAAAAAAAAGACCGTACCTTTTATGTAATGATGTTTACTTTGAATTTATATTAGTTCACACAAACACTCCATCCATGCTTTTGTTCCGGCCCTCCGGTCCAGTTTAAGAACCCACTGTGGCCCTAGTCAAAAAGAGTTTGCCCACCTCTGGGATAGGAGGAAAAAAAAAAACAATTCCCTGCTGGCTTCCAGAACAACACACGCTGGCCCATCCTCATTGCTTTATCCTCCTCCTTTACCCTCCCCTGAAAAATCTAGACTTTCCCAGGCTTCTGTCTCAGGCTGTCTTCTCTGCCTACTCTACTCTTCTTCCTCTACCCTCCTATAGGTGCTCTCACCTACTCCCGGCCTTGAATCAACCCCCCAGGGAGCAGTGGCACCCTATTTTTTTTGCCCCAGCCTTGAGGCTACACCCTCCCGGCCAGTTCCCCACTGGCTCACTCCACTGGAATGCATTCATAATGTTGCAACCTTACCAGGTATGAACTCTAATTCTTGAGTTCTGCTTTCCATCCCCCAAGCGGTCCCCTCCTAATCCACATTCAGCCTTCGTTATCCAGCCACAGCAGGGCTAGCACTAGAGGTTCATATTCAACCCCACAGCCACTTGGGTCAGTTTCTCCTTTAAGACCACTACCTCTCCACCCAGCCTCCCTGCTCCCAGGAGCCTCTCTCCCACAACTTGTTTTCCGAACATCAACCAGTTGCCGGAGGTGGTAGAAATTCACTATCCTAATCCTCATCTCACAGCTCGGGGAGCTGAAATGCTCGCAAGCGAAAGGATTTGTTCAAGGTCCTGGAATGAATGCTTGTGCATAGTCCTCCGTTTGCAAAAGCAAACCCAGCGGTCCACCTGGGCCCCTCCAGCTGCAGTCCCCTGGACACCTGGGCCAGCGGGGTCTCCTTTCCAACTTCCTCCCGTTCACTGTGGAAGCCACCCACCTGCCAACCTCATGTCCACGTCTCCCGCTGGGTTGGGGCCGCCGGCAGGTGAACTGTTTGGGGACCGTGCGCTCTGGAGGCAACAAAGCAGAAGAGCAGGTTTGGGTGGGGGTCAGGGATGAGCCAGAGCTGGGCCCCTGCGGCGGGACGGGCGCGATCGGTGCACCGACTTGTTCAAATACCTGGCCAGGCTCCGGGGAACGCGGAGAGAAGCCCTGTCGGGACAGGAGGGGGGTCTCGGAAACGCGTTGGCTCGAGGTCGATCGTGCCTGCGGAGCCTCTGGGGCTGGGAAATGAAAGTGGTTCTCTCGGACGCAGGCCCCTCCCCTGGGAGGCCCCGAGCTCAGGCCGCGCCTCCGGGCCCGGGGGCCTGCGACGGGGGCTGGGCCGGCCGGAGACTTGCCTAGCTGTGGGGAGATGCGACCTCAGTCGGGGGTGACCCTGTCAGGCCGGCCGCGCCGCCCTCCTCTGCCAAGGAAGGAGAGAGCG